TAATTACAGTTCCTTTAAACTCAGCTGGAGAGAAGCAGCCATCCAAATACAGCACAATAACTTAGCCCCTTCCTGCCTCATCCTGAACTGCTGGTAGCCTACACCCCCAGAAAGTCTTCATCCTCCTAACCAATGGAAATCCTGCCCACTCTTTGCTGCAAATGAATGAGAAATTGTATGTATTTATATCAAGTGAGTGTCTCCCAACTTGCAAAAATCATGTCCTTAAATTAGCATTTCTCAGTATCACTAATTTCCACACTCCCACCCTCTTCGGGATCCACTTTTGACCATGCTTCTAGCAATATTCACTGAGCTCAGTACAGGTGTAATATGCATCAACTCCCATAGGGGAAGGGAAATGATAGCCAAGAACCTATTCTTATACCTCAAAGGTTAACTTTCAGATCCTATGGCAATGTGCTCTGAGCTCAGTGCAGAAGCAACATACTCCATCTCCTATAAAAGTGGAGGGGGAGAAAGACAACACTTTGAACTATAAACACTTGCCTCCTAGTCCACGGTCTTTCACATCTGGTACAAACTATCTCAGGACTCATTCCTGATCTTCTTTCTGGCAAGATATTATAAATGCAGGAGTAACAGATTTTCACTTATTCCATCCCTTAAACCTAGAAAAATATCTCTTATTCTAGAAGGGTATGGCAAGCACTATATATAGCAATCGTGAAAAACTGATAGTTAAAAGCCAAGGTCCTGCAGGGCATCACTTATTATTTGCAAACCAAAGATATTATATTAGAAATTAACATTACTTACTTACTTTCTGACAAAGTATATGATACTGAATAGGTCTGTTCCCAGATTCCTCCTGCAGCTGTATCTTGAGATGTGTTGGATGCTAATTCTTGTTTTCTGAAACAAAAACAACTAGTAAATAATCCTGCACTGGCAGGGAAGGGTGAACAAAATCTTTTAACAGGGCTCATTCATTTCTTACTTCTGTGAAACCATATTGGTGTATTTAATATACCAGATTCTCACTTTGATCCATTAAAACTGGATTTTTCGAAGGGGAGCAGATGACTCAAGGACTAGGAATGACTTTAGGAGGCTTTCACATATAGGTTACTGGTTCAAATGCAGACCAGGATTTTAATTGCTAAAAATTTCATTCCTGTTTCTTACCTCCATGAAATGAATTTCTAGTCTCAATCTACTTTCTAGTGGATAAATTTCTGTCACAAACCAGCATCATAACTGGCCCCTTTTAGTGGCAGTCTCAACATAGAGGTCTAAGACTGAATTGGTACTGCATGTCACAATTAAGGCATATTGAGGGAAGGGGGGAAACCTTGCACTACCACTAATCCACTTGTAACCTCTGTAAGTGCATATGAGGTTGTTCATTTTCAATACCAATTCCATTTTAAGTCTCTACTGAAACTACCAATAGGAGGACCAAATGTCATGCTGAGTTGAGAAATGGGGACTCCACTGGAAACTGTCCTGAGTCTAAACATTAATTTTACATCTCTCTGTCCCCTCTGTAAATTTTTTTGCACTACCTCCTGAAACTGGATCCATGTGACTGAACATTTGTCCAAGTCCTGTGAGGATTTGATTGTGGGATTAAAATCTTGGGCCACATATAAACTAACTTAAAAAACACTCTCCCTTTAAAAAAAAGTGACAATACATGTAGTTTTAACTGTATGATTGTCTTTGAAAATGTTACTTGAAAAATGTTAAATAGGATCTTAATCCTTGGGCATAGAATTAACATTTATCAGTATAGATAGATATTAGGGAAAAAATTTAGAGCCCCGTTCTGCAAATGCTTGTGGACATGTGTAACTTAACTCCCACATAAATACTCCAGTAGAGCTCAGTATGGCTGCTCATGTGAATGGTTACATGTGTGATTAAGTGTTTGCAGGTTTCGGGCTTATGTCACTTCTCATTCACAAGTGTGAGGAAAATTGATAGGTGGAGGATATTAAGATGAATGAAGAATATCAGTTTCATATAGCTTTCTTATCACATTTGATTGCACAATGTCTATGATAATAAAAGATAACTGTGTAAATGTTAATGGTAACACTGTAGTTCTGCATGGCTTAAATTAAGTACAAGGTTATTCAAATGTGAAGATGGTCAGAAAAGTTAGGCTCCAATACTGGAAAAAATTCTGCCAGGATAAATCCTGAGCTGGCACAGGACCCAGTGAAATTAATTGGTCTTTGTGCTAGTGTACAGACTTGAGTGTGCTGAAGCAGAAAGGTCTATATTGGTAAAAACGTCTCCTCCTTAATCATCTGATTCCGTTGTCTGTCAAATATCAGCACATAAGAAAAGAAACCTGTATTTTTCTTTAATGTGTTTTTCTTTTTAGAACCAATACAACTAACAAAGAGCAATATATATGCTAGATGATGCTTGAGACAGAATAGAAAATTGTCAGTTAAATTCTGCTAATGCATTCTTTATTAATAGGGATAATGCCAGAGGCCGAGAGTGTTGTATGTAAATGAATATTTAGATCTTATGTTAAATTTGCAGTACTTGGCAGTTAGAAAAATCTATCTTTTTATTTGTAAACTAGATCCAATGACAGAAAGCACACAGAATCCCATGACATAATTTACCATGGGAAAATGTCACTGATTGTTTTACTAGGTCAGAACAATTTCAGTATTAGTCCTTTCTGCTTACTCATAGCAGAATATGACCAATTACTATTGTATCAAGTAAAAGTGTCTCAGAAAGACTGTGCTCATTCTGCTTACTATGGCAATAATACGGTAGCAACCTCATCTCTGCTCAGACCAGAAACAAGAACTTTATTTTTAAGCCAGTCTACTAGTTGCTTTTGATGCTAAAAATTAATTACTTTCACAAGCCACTTTAAAACAGTTACTGTATTCAGTTTAGCTGAACAAATAATTTATAATAAATAATATATTGCAAAAGTTCAGCCTCTTCTTCCATTAGCAGAAAACCTGCAAGTGGATCATTTCCCTCAGATATATTCAGTACTCCCAGTCTCAAGTGCTCAAAAATCATAATTTAGACCCCCCCCAATGTAATTACTTTAACTTAATCATTTTTAAAATAATAAATATTAGATCTTTTTATTTGCTTTCTTTGTTTGAGCCACCGGGGTTCACCTTTTCCAACTTTTTCTCCACAATCATAGACGCTTAAAAAAACCCTCCATGAAACCTGAGATTCTTACACCTGAAGGAGCTGGATTTTTAAGAAAAACACCAAATATCACAAGACTTGTGATTAAATTACAAGAACTGGTAACACAACAAAAGTTTGCAAATGTTTTCACTGTAAAGTGATCATGATTTATAAACAGTTCACTGAGAGTACTTGATATTGGACTGATTTTGGTTAGTTGGGACAAGTAACATGTTTCTGCTTCCCAAACAAATGAACTTACAAGTACTTGTGAAGTGCATACCTGTGAGTGTAAATATAAAATTCAGTTTCTCTGGCTACATATGCCTGAAACTTAGACACGGACCAAACATGGGGCATGAACATGTCCAAACTGAATTTATTTAAAAATGTAGCTGAATATTCACAGGAATATCACTCAGCTTTAGTAATAAGGCATTTCAGGGACCCAAAATAAGTACTTTTATATTAATTGGAATGTATGCAACATTTGATAAGTAATAAACAATGGAAAAAATTATACTAACTTTAGGACTGCTGAAGAGATTTCCTCCTCTACAAATACTTGTTTGAAAATTTTCACTCCCCACTTAAATTCACAATTGGATTCATGTGGGTGGAGCCTTGCACCCGCACACAGGTTCACTGAAGTCAGTTCAAGTTCAGCAAGGATTGAAAGGCTCCACCCACATGGATTTATTTGATTATAGGATGGGGCCAAAAATCTTTTATTTCCCTGTCACCTGAATACTTTCACAATACTGATGAAGTATCCTTCACTCAGGCCTTTCTCTAGGATACCCTTTCAAGACTCCATTGTTTGCTTCTCAGTCAATTGACAATGATTTTCCTTAGTTCAGTATGGGAAGTTCCAGAACGTTCCCTCTGAGTTATTGTCCAACACTACAGCCCATGAAAACTCTTCAAAGTTTCAATGAATTTTTGACTAGTTGGAAAAAAAACTAACATCTCATTGAAAGTTCCTCCCCAAATTTGAGAAAAAGAAGAGTTTCACAATTCAGACACCCAGCTGCCCCATTTTTCAACCATGTCTGCCTGAGTGTCAACAGCAGCACCAACAATGGAAGCCCAGCCAAAAAGAGCTGCAGGCTGGAAAAAGCGGTTGTATCTTTGTAGGGGCTGCGGTGCTGCTTGTCTGGGAACCTGAGCTCTGCGTGGGATGCATCTCCCAGGGTAAGGAAGAGACCTAGGCCACTCAGCTCATGAGTGTCACACAGTCCAAGAGCCACCCCAGCCTCAGAGGTGGCTCGACCCGGCTGCGATTACGATAGCTCAGTGCATGTTGAAACCTGCCTTCTCCATGGAGCCGCCTCCCACTGGGATGGGTCTGTCAGCTCCAGAAGGGGCACCCCAACATAGGGATCAGGATGGAGCGGTGCCTACTGGGACCTGTCGCCTCCATGGAGCCACCGGCTGCTAGGACTGAGGTGAAACAGTGCGCGCTGAGGCGTGCTGCAGCCACACCAATACGAGGAGCAGCGCGCGCTCAGAGCCCCACCCACAAGAGGGAGGTAACCTTTAGCGACCGCTCCAACCCCCCTTCCACGCCACTGAAGGATCGCCATAGTTGTCTTCTGTAAGCCCCACCCACTGCAGGTGGAGTTACACAGGTCCCGCCCCTTGACTCATTTCATTAGCTGGAGTCAGTATCACTCAACCCCGACAGCCGCTCCGAGAATCTAACGGCGTTTTATGCCCCGCTCCCTCTTGGAAGCCACACCTCCAGGTGGCACAGCGATTAACCGGCAAGGCTGTCAATCATAGATCTCCTGGAATGTGACTGGCTGAGTCTGGCTTGTGGGCGGGTAATCGGGGGGGACAGCGGTGTTTACGGTGCGTGAGGTGAGGAGGCTGTTAAGAAAGAACCACCATCCCTTTTCTGGACCCGGACCACTGCCTAGGCCCTTGGGGGCTACCACCACCATGGGGCTCCGGAGGAAGAACAAGAGCCCGCCCGTGCTAAGCCATGAATTCGTGATCCAGAACCATGCGGACGCCGTGTCCTGCCTGGCTATGGGCCTCCTGCTGGGGCTTATGTTCGAGGTACGGGGGTTGGGAGCTTTGCCTGCGGCTGCCGAGCGGGGAATACCCGCCCCAATCGAGCCGTGCACCGGCACTTCCGAGCTGCCCCAACCCTGCAGTTCTCCGGGCAGCGACCGAGCCTCATCCTTACCCTCTCTCACTACTGGTCACGCCCCTGCTTCTCCTGCCTCCCCAGCGCCTCACCTTATGACACACCCCGGCTCTCATCTCCCCCTTCACTCCCCCATAGTGGGGCAGGCTGCCCCACTGTCATTGCTGTCGCCCCCCCGCGGACCCTTCATGCTCGCTCGTTCCCTTCTGCTCCATCTGCCAGACCCCATATCATACGCCCCAATTCCATCTGACTCTCCTCCCCTAGTCCTCGCCCTGCCCTCCTGGATCCCCATTGCCACACAACTCCTTTCGCATCTGCTTCACCTGTATTCCTTTCCAACAAGCCCCTCATTCCCATTGATCCTCCTGGAGCCAAATCTGCTCTTTCTCTTAGGCTTGGTGTGTCCTTTTTCTTTAAAACTTTCCAGTGGTGGAAACATGAGTAAGTGTGCTATTGTAGACAGACCTCCAGGTGGACACTGCTGTTTTAACCACCATATTGTCTTGACCTGCTCTGAGCAGGGTTGGATGACATTGCAGTTAAAATGCTACTGGCAGTCCACCTCTATTATTACTGCTTCTGTTGCTCTCACTGACTCAGGTCTACCAGTGATGAGGAATCTGGGGAAAAATGCTAGTGTGGTCACAGCCTTAGACTTGTCTCCAAATCCCTCCTTTTATGTATTTTAAAGTTCTGTTAATAAAGTTAGATTTCCTAATTAAATGAAGGTGTCACCCTTTCATCAACCTCTTTTGGTGCCTTGGTTGAATCTTCTAGGCTTTGTTCTCTGGGATAAAATTGTTGTGTCATGATGCTGTATGTGTACATTGTGTCAGTCTGGAAGATGGTTAGTTTGATTTTACTGCCTCTCTGAAGAATGGGACTACCCAATGAACCAGATAAGGCAGATTGTTTGCCTTTTGTTTGGGGTTTTATGGATAGGTGGGAAGGGGAGTTGGCAGGGCTGTGGAGGGAGACATGGTTTTCCAAGCTGTGACAACTGATGTTTGGGAGAGGTGGTAAGTATCTTACTGAAACAATCTCAACATCACTCATCACTTGAGCAAGATTTAAAATAAAACTACTTAAAGATGAGAAAATGCTTTGAAATACTTGATTGAAAGGTTCTGTATACTGCTAAGTAATATTATCTTTAAAGGTTCATTCTTCTTTACTGCTATGCTAGTCCTGTAGACTTCAGAGCATTATTATGCTGGAAGAGGGTGGAGAATGGAGTCCTAATAATCAAATAATGTCCCTCTAAATGAATGACAGATGCTGAGTTGGGTGATACTGTAGTCTGCTGCATCAGAAGTGGTACAAATTGAAGGAGATACATGATGCAGAAAGTGCAGTTGTGGAAAATCAGTACTTAAAACAGGAGACTGGAGGTGGGGAAAGAGAAGGACAGTTCAGATGACAAACTTTGTTTCTTCTATGAGGACTAATGTATGTTTTTTGTTTTGTTTTTTTTTAATGTGAATCCCAGGAATATGAGATAAAGTGGATGCATTGGTCAAAAGTTAGAATTCTAGATCTCATAAATTAAAGCTCTGGGATCAAGGTGTGGGGGAGAGAGAGGAGGGGAGTTTTTTGTTTGGGTTTTTTAGTCTTAAGTACCAGTTTTAAAGAGACTGGTTTATTTTTTGGCTGCTAAAAAAACACAGTTTGTGAAATTGTGTTTGTAAATCCTTACTTGTTCAAATACAATAAGGTCTTGTGCAAACACAAAAGTTTACAGACCTTGTAGCATTGACACAGTTATACTGATATAGCTTATTCCTGTACAGGAAGGAGAATAAGCAGTATAAGCAATTCTACACCAGTATAATTGCATCAATAGTAAGGTTAAACCAGTTTTAACTATATCAATAAAATATCACACACCTAACTGACCTAGCTATAGTAATACAAAACCTCTAAGTGTAGACCAGCTCTAAGTGTAGTTTGTGCTGGGAATAATCAGCTGCATTCTGTGAAAAATATTTTCTGATATGTCCTCCTGTTTGATGCAAAATATATCTACCTAGCGGTATTGCAGTCAGTTCAAATGATACAAAATAGGTAAAGATACAGTGATCCTATGCAACAAGATAATTTTTACATAGCAATGCAATTTTTGGGAAAGTTGATTGAGAAACCTGTAACTACTTGGTTCCTGATGACCATGAGGAAACATTATTATAGGATCCACTTGGCCTTCATTTGGAGTGGGCTGTTCAGATCTTTCATGACATGACAAGAAGATTTCAGATCAGGGTCACTTGATTGTTCTGATGGTGCTTATACCTCAACGGTTGTTGATGAGATCGTCGTTTGAAAAATCTATTCATCCTGGAAAGTGAGAACCTGGCCCTGATGAGTAAAGAAATATATGCTAACAATTTACTAATTGAATTTTAAAATTAAAGCTTAAGTTTCTAGCCCTTATAATTCAGAAGATAGCAATCTGATTGTAAAACAGTAGTGTCATCTTCCTGACTCTAAAGATAGGCAGCTGCAGAATTAAATCAACAAAATTGCCTCAATTCAATTTCCTCAAATTCCTTCTCATACTTGTGCTGCTGCCCCAGGGATCTCCCTGCATAGGTGTCCTTAGAAAGTTTTTTTTTTTTTTTTTTTTTTTTTACAGGCAGTATTTCCTGTTATGGTCTCTGAATTTTGCATATATCTTCAAGTGCCATAAAAAATAGCTACTGTCTTCAGTCTCTTCAGTAATGTATTTAGTAGAAATAGATTGTATGGCACTTATTTAAAGCCCATTGATTGACTTAAAAAAAACAAACAGACCTTAAATATTAATGACAGAACTGGAAGTGTCAGTTAGTCTAATCTCTCGTTGCTTTGAGGACATGTGTTCCTTATAATTTTATAAAACACAATCATTGTATTGTGGTTGCTACAAAAGTAAAATGTCTACTAGCATTTGCATTCTCAAGGAAACTCTTTTATCAAAATGCATGCTTCTTATGTAATAGTAGATTAGGCTGCTTAAATGTTTATTGCAGGATAACTGTGAAAGGCCCATTTGTTTCTTGCCTCATTACATTTTATATTTACCTTTAATTGATTCAAATAACTGTTGAAGATATGAAATCCATCCTGCTAATTAGAAGGAAATATGAGTTTTAGAAAACTGTTAGTTTGACCGGCTTGAGAATTTATTGGCAGAGTCCTGACTGCTATTTATAGTAACTCAGGTTTTGGATATCTATGCTACCTCTTTCCTATCTTCTGAAGGAATGGAGGGCCATTTTGTAAAGTTTGTATTATATTAATGCTGCAAAGAGAAGTATGGTCATCTGCATGGTCTGTCAAAGCTAAGGCGTTAAGACTGTAGTTGTAGAACTTAGATGCCTTCACACTAAAGGATTGGGGTGTACCAAATTTTCTTCTGTCAGAGATAAAACTCATGTTCACATCTAGCACTTTTACAGGAAAATTAAGAGCATATTTCTCTATTACATCCCATGTAAAACCTATGTTAAAAATATTAAGGGTGCAAAGTCAAGCACTCAAAAGTTGGAAAATGCCAGAATTAAGGTTGCTCATACAATATACATATATATTATGATTCAATCTTAAATTACATGACCATGTACTATTTTTTAAATAGGACAGTTGCCCCATTCATTGCACAGTGTGGACAGTGCTTACTGAATGGTTACCTAGTCAGTATTTCTCTTTGTTCTCATTATTTGGTGTATGTCTTCCATGCCATATTTACTGCACAGCATCCAAACCCTGCACTCAATTCAGAATTATTGATTTCCTCATGGGTTTTTCTGTGGTACTGATCATGAAGCACTCAGTACCATAAACTTATCTTCATAACATATCCTTTGAAGTGTGGATGGGGAACTGAGGCACAAAGAGACGAAGGTCAAAAGTGTCAATTTTGGGTGTCCAACCTGAGACACCTAGGGCCTGGTATTTTTCAGAGTCCTTAGCATTTTTATAGCACTTGATATGTTCAATGCACGTTTACCTTTGCCTTCAGTTGCAATTGTGAGTGCCCTTTGGTAAATCTAACCCCAGGTTTCTCAAGTTTGGCACTAATAAAATAAGGAACACACAAACAAAAACTTTTCAGAGGCCCACTAATTAAATGGCTTGCTCAGCATCATATAAGAACTTTGTGGTAGAGACAGGGATAAAATCTAATTCTTCGCAGTGTCATTCAGTTGTCATAACCATGAGGCCATCCTTTGTCTTCCTGCAGTCCCCTGTCTCACAATGCATCTTGCATTTTCTGCAGCAAATGAGGCAGGGTCCCGTAGACAAGTCTTATTTACTACATAAGCTGGATTCATTCCCTGAGTACTGCCCATCTTGTGTACTGAGTGAGGTAGGGATCCTGTGGAGAAAAAAATAGTATATGATACTGTAATTAAAGATTATCATAATGCATTGCAGAAGCAGCCTTAATTCTGGCATTTCATAACATCTAAGGCTTGACTTTGCAACCCTAATTTTCTTTTAATACGGTGGTTTTGAATGTAATGTTTTTTTGTTTTTTTTAAACTTAGGACATACTCCATCAAGTGAAATGTTATCCCCCCCTCCCCCCCCCCCCCCCACATGAGTCATCAGCAAAATAGAAACCTTTCCATCCACAGCACACATCTCTGACACTTGAGCTAATAGCATAACTGGTGGCAGTAAAAGGCTGTTTATCCTCTGTGAACCAGCCCCTGCCAGTGGGTTTCACAACTATTTGCTAGACAGCACAGGAATGTTGAGACTCAAGAATCGTGGGTCTATTCCAGGCTCTGGAAAATCGTGTTCTCTACTGGCTATAGAAGACGGGGGGAGAACCTCTCGCCCACTGGCCAGATCCGTCCCCCTGCTTAATTTCATCCGGCCTGCGGCAAGTCAGCTCTGAGCCTTGGCGCCCCCCCATGGG